CAGCGTCAATGGAACACTTTCACGGCATTATTTCAAGTAAAAAGTATATACTCTCTACCCTATAGAGAGTATACTATATACCCTTGAAATAAAAGTATATACAACTTGCCTAACCCAGCTAAGCTTTTTCGGGGAAAGTATTGGGTTTCAGACATGGTTTTTGGTCGGCTCCTGGTGGCAACTCCGATATTTACAAAAATAAATAAAATAAAACAATGTCATAATTACTAGTCACCAGCTTCATGAGGTCGAGTGGCTGGCACCGAAGTCGTCGTCGGAAGCAAAGAGGCCAAAAGTATTGCTAACCGTTCTAACATTACACCTTCTATCTTCAACACCTTTACACATATTCTACTGAAAACCATGAAGTTGGCTGCCAAGTAAGCCTTAATCTCCAAACGTTAGTCCCCTTATCGACAGCAAAGCTAGCTGCTGTACTGCCCAATCAATCAGGGTACGGGCGAAAGTTTTAGGATTTAAAGGGCAAACAAGTCTGGTTCACGGCTAAGCTGCGAAGTAATTTAGCCCAGAACATTGTGCGAGGGAGTGGAGACAATGCTATTACTTAACACACTCAACCACACCAACTCCGCGTATTACTAAGGAGTCATTTATTTCCAATCTAGAGTTCAGAAAATGTAGGAAAAGGTGCCTAAAATAAATCTTGGAAGGCAAAGGACAAGTCTCATCATCAGAATAAAATACTCGATTCGGTGTTTCACACTATTAAGCAGGACACGGGTCGAAACAAATCTATCAACCTATTCCTCCACGAGTCGGTGGCTTCAATGTTTTCAAGAGAATATTAGCCGCCACAACTGGCAGGAAAATATTTCGACGCGGCCTTGCTGATAGACCACCAGGCTTTTCCAACCTGGCGCCCTCTTGCCTGTTTGGACGACAAGTTCCCATTACCGTCCCTCCTGAGTGATGGGAGATGAAGTCTCACCCATATGGCAGGCGCCAGTTAGGGAAAAGCTGGGCGATTTGAGGCTGCCTCGGGACGCCAGGCATCTCTAGCAAGGCCGGAGGTTGCCGCCTCCCCGTAGAGGCGTAATCTGCGCAATGGAGATTTTGACTGTGATCACCGCTGAAATGGAAGGAACCCCACGACTTCAGGAAGAAACAAAAAAAAACTTTAAATCAAGGTCGGAGGGGAGAGGCTGGTTTGCAAGTTACAATTTGTACTTCTGTCTGGCCTCTTCCCTGTCTCCTTTGGTCTGGGTTTGAACGCAATGAATCCTATTGAAATCAACGAGATTCGTCTCTGAGACAATGAGCCTCGTCCAAGTGTTGTGGTGGATTCTATCTGGTTGCCATGCATACCAGATACCACTCCCCCTCAAAAAAAAACTTTTCTTACAAAGTTTTAAATAATTTATATGTGGGTGGGGAGCTTTTTGATTGTCTAATAAAGGTACACAGACACATTAACACGTTTAATGAATATGTGTGTGGACATATTTACATAACTATTCTTGCCTTTAGTGTGTAAATGGAGAAGAAATAATTCCTGTTTGTACTGTACACTTGCCTATAAAAGTATGTTTTTATATATTAAATTATTTGCCTATCAGAATATTTGTCTTATTTCACAGTGTCCTGTATGTGTTTGTTCCAATGTCCTATATAACCCACAAATGTAATCTTCATACTTGGAAGCCTGCTGGAAACGTTCCAGAAGTAATATCAGATTCAAGTTAGGAATGATTCCAACTCCACTAATAGTTCGTGTCTAACCCCACCACCACACACACACACACATACACACAGAGGAAACGTTAAAGGTAACCGTATGCATCGGCTCACCCACAGTGAGCCTGGGGAATTATCTATTATTCATTGGGCACATTTTAAATATGGGTGGCGATTCGCCCGCCAAAGGAAGATGGTTCTTGTTTTAACGAAAGCTTCCTGTTGAAATGGCTACTCTGCACCATCCAGGGATTCTTCTAATGTATCGCTCCCCGGTGTAAAGAAAGGAGGGATTCTGAGGTCTCAGGAGATCACCCGGAAGAAGCCAACGCTGAGATTCCCCGAGGACTAAGCCAAAGGGAGAGGGGAGCTGAGGGAAAGCTTGTTAAGGTGATGCCCCCAAATTCCTTCCAGAGCCACAGACACCCGGAAGCCGTTCCCGACTTTAATCCGGAGCTTGGCCAGAAAAGCACCCGCTGTCCTAACAGCCTTGGGAGGCGCAGTAACTTTAGCCAGCAACTTACTTGGCTTGAAGCTAAGGTTACATTGGTTGGGTGGATATAGCCTCTCACCTTTTCGGACAGCCGCGGCCGGAGATCGGATGTGTCAAAAACGGAGCCCGACAGACTGAGAAAAGACACAGTCTGGTCCAGCCGAGCTTCGCGCTTGAACAAACGCCTTCGGAACTGGGATCCATCTTCCCTTTCATTTTATACATGTCGATCGATTTTCACTGCCGGCGGAACTCAGAATGAAAGCGGATTTTATTTTTCTCCAACCCCCCCACATTGCTTCGCTCCGGCCCATTCTGTACAATTCGGCCTCCATGGAGGAAGAGGCGGCAGGCAACAAAACATTACCCCTTACTGGTTCGCGCAACCACATTAAATGCTTTAGTCAAGTTTAATTAAGGCTTGAAAAGCTCAGTGGTGTCACCCGACCTGATTGCAGAAAGGCCCCGGAAACTCAGCCAGGAAGTCGAGCATGATTAGAAGAGCGGGCGACTTGGATATGAACCAAAAAGTTGGGCTGAGGAGAAAGTCTGGGCCAAGTCGAGAAAAGGCTGAAGCGTTGGTTTATTTTCAAATTCAGTTAAATCTTGCATTGTTTTCGGGAAATTCTCTTTTTTTCCCTTCCCCTCCCGTTTCCCCCACTTGGGTGGGTGGGGGGAGGAAGTGAAGGCACCCAGGTAATGAAATTGGTAACTAAATAGTAATTGAATCAGTATAATTTGCGTACGGAATGCATTTCAAATGCTCCCAGTTTACAATTAAAACTGACACGCTTGCTTCCAGCGTGCCGCACATTTAGAATAAGGGCTTATTTTAAGTTCTAGCAAACAACATGACGGGCGAAAGAGGGAAAAATCACGCAGTTTAGGAACCTCGACCCTGGTTACGTGTTCGGTAGTTTTCTTAACACCGTTTACAACAATCAAAAAGAATAGGGATGGCGCTACAAAATCTTCCCTTCCACCCAGCCAATTTTTTAAATTGCAAAGGGTAAATGACCCTTTCAGGTGCAACGAAGCTTTGCAGAGTCATTGCCCTTATGTGATGTCACTTGTGTGAGTCTTGCCACTTTGAGAATCTTGGAGGAGTGCCCAATCTCCAGCTAGTTCTCACATTCCTTTTAGATCCACATCTGTCCACCGCAGAGAAGGGAAAGTCAGAATGCACGCATGTTGGTCTTTTATTAAAAGGAAAGACAAAAACGCCTTCCAATATATTAAAAAAAAAAAACTTCTAAACTGGCACACGATCCTCCTTTGGGAGGGAGAGGGAGCGAAGGTTACACGAGCAGGTGGATAGCATCCAAGAGCGATAATTTCCAACGGGAGGGGTTGCCCCCGTGTTCACCTGTTTACCCAGAGATGTCCCGAGCGAGGTTGAAATTGGGGCACAGCGCCCTCAAGTGCCTATAGCTTGCAATTACAGGCAGCGGGGAGAAAAAGCTTCCGAAGAAAGGCTTACCGCGGAAGACCCTAAAGAAGCTCATTAGGTTTCTGCTTGTTGGGTTGAAATTACACCCAAGCCTTTTCGGCTCTTGTTCTCTGTTTTCTTCCTCTCCACCCTAATCCTCGTACTGCCGTTTATCCGATCTGTAAACCGGTGGCTTCCGAAAAAACCCGAATAGCGGGCTCTGGGCATGCAGATCGTTCGATCCGTGCAGAGAAATGGATTCCGCGCGAAAAGAAGCTGCAACCTCTATGACCCGGTAATCTTAAGCGGGAGTTATTCCACTTTAAGAGTAGGCTAAGGGAGGGTGTTCGGTGGACTCACAGCAGAATGTACATATGGGTAGAATTTATTCTGTGGTGGGCGGGGGAAGGATAATTAACAGGACTTTATTTTCCCACGCCCAAGATTCCCGCTAATGGAAAACGACTGGAAGGACTTTTCGGAGTAACAACGGAGACTTTTTTCCTCGGGCCGGAGGACCATTCTAAACCCCGAAGTGTGAGGCATGGAGACAAAGAAGCTGACTTCCAATAATCACACCGAGAAGCATTCTGCCAAATATTAGCTTCCTATTCCTAGCTCCTAGTACGTGTATTGGGTTCCAATTCTCAACACGCCCGCCTAGAATTATCAAACGACAACTCCCATCAATCCCAGCTTGGACAGGAAGCCGACTGCTCCCACCATTCCCAACTAATGAGGCGGATGGCCAATTGTTTGAGAGAGATGGAAGGTCATTAGGAAGGCACCGGATCGGGAAGAGAGTTTCGGACTGTGCGCCGGAGGGAGGGGTCGGAGAATGAGGGTGACAACGGACTCATCAGAATGGCCTTGGAACTAAGCGCCCTGTAATTTTGCCTCCCTTAAGTGTAAACAGAATGTTCAATGTTGAACTAAAAGAACGTGAGGAGGAAAAAGTTTTGCAGAACACGAGTCCGAAACGCTAACTAGCAAAATCCTTCCAAGAATCGCTGCGCAGGATTCCTACCATCACACACTCTGAATCTCCCACACAAAATCAAGCCCTGGTCAATAAGATTGCAACATCCCATGCCCAGCAGCCGTTGTGTGACCCTCCCCACTCCAGGTCCAAGTGAAAACTCCCCAAGAGTGACGTCCCCCTCTTCAACCTGAAGCTTGGACCTTTGAAGTTGCTGGAGCCGAACTCTCCTCTCTGCCACAGCGCAAGTCCGTGATTGATGGAGGCACTCGGAGATGCAAGAAGCTTGTCTGGAGTATAGGACTTCTCCCCAAGGATCGAGGCCTTCTCTGCTGATATCCCGCCGGCAACCCCGGCTGGGAGAGGAGCAGAGAGAGGGACGACAGAGAGGCGCAGGAACTTACCAGGTACAGCACAGGTTGCAGCAGAAGCACTGCGTACCAATATGTGGGCTGCATCCTCGCGGCTCAAACTTCCTTCGCGCTGCTCGGGCTCCCTCTCTGTTTCGCCAGAACCATAGATCCACCCGGCATCTACTTTAAAGAGCCAGGACAGCTCGCTTCAGCCTAGGCAAAAATGAAAGGATAAACTCCATGACCACGAGACAAGGTTAGCTGCCGAGGGGAAGGGGAAGGGACACGCAGCCGGCGAGGGGAAAGAAGGGGATGCCTCAAAGAGAATTAGTCCATTTGGTAAGAGCGCCGGGAGAAGAGCTTTCCTTGGGCCAAATTAACTCGTTGCGGGCTGACTCCAGAGCGAGAGGCTTAATAAGAGCTGGGGTGTGTGTTTTTTTTTCCAATGTCCAGCGCTACAGCTGTCTAGGAGGGTGGGAAGAGAGGGCATCCACCAGATCTTTCGCCGCCACCCCGACTCTTCACGTAGGACAGGAGTAAAGCTACGCTGTCGGGCAGCGGGGAGCGGAAAGTGGGGGAGGAGAAGGATCAGGAGAGCGACGGGGGAGGCTGAGGGGAGCCAGTCGATTAACCTGGACTCCCGGATCATGGCCGAGACCAAGCTCAAGTTCCAGGCAAAGGTTTCGAGACAGTGTCTTGAACCCGAGAGGCGCCCAAAGAACCTCGTGCGCGCGCGCACACACTTCGCTTTCTCACACAGATCCTCCACCTCCCACCCCACTCCCCACCCCCATCCAACCCTTTTTCGGTGCTTCGAAGCCGCTCTTCTGTCTCTGGCTTGTCCTGACCCTCTTTGCCTCATTGCTGATCGCCAAATCTCCCCGCTGTTCGAGTCGCCCCCTCTCCCCCCCCCACCCAAGCTCGTGGGGAAAAGGAAAGCGTCCACCTACTGCTTGTGGGGTCCGAAAGCAGGTGTCGATCTCTGGCAATAGTCCATAGGAAAAGAAATCAGCACAGCAATCAAAAGCCAGCTACGCGGGCTTGGGTGCTCGGACAGGGTCCCCTCGGCGTGGTTGCTCCATGATATGGACAGAGGTCCCGTGGAAACAGGTGCCGCCGGTTTCGTAAGGGAAGCGCCCAGGAATGTCACGATGGCAGGAAACTTGCAAGAGGAAAGAGACCTGAGGCTGTCCGGACCGCCCGCGTCTTTTTGCAGCAGCCAACGGCACCAGCAGTAGCCACCGATATTGCCTCCTGGGCGTTCCGAGTGATTTGTCTCTATTAAAAATGACTTATTGGCCAGCAACTGCCCGGCGATGGCTGCTCTTTAAGTTTCGATAAAATCTATCTGCAAAGACCTTGGCTGATCATCTCTTTAGGGGGAAGGCAGAGAAAGGGAAGAAAGGGGGAGGAGAAGTGGAAGGAGGAAGGGGAGGGGAAGCCAAGCGATGCAATACAAGCGTCTGGGTGGCAGAGCCCCAGAGCGCTGTCCGAATCATTTCAGCTGTAAAGAGGAAGAGGGAAAGAAAGCTGTGAGACTTTAAGCTGCACCCCAGCCTCTATAGCCTGAAACTGGCGGCGAATCAGAGTCCTCCCGAGGCGCACTGCAGTGCAGTGCCCTGCCGCCAGGGGACTCCCTTCCGCTCTTTCTCAGGCTTATTCAGCCGCCCGCGTTCACGGTGGTCTCCTCACCGTGAACCACGGGGCGTGCCCTTTGCGCCGGGAGACCGAAGAAAGATTGGCTTCGTTTCGTTCTCTCTCTCTCTCGCTCCGCCCCGCTTGCCTTGCTGCTTTCTGACTCCTTCTTTCTCAGTAGCAATTAATATCCCATGAATATCAATAATGATGTCGCCCTTGGCTCCCGAACAAACAATAAAGCATTTGGAAAAGGAAGCTTCAAGTCTTCCGATGCTTCCCTGGAGTTGACTGCAGGGGGGCTAGGAGAAGGCTAGAGCAATGAGCCGCGAAGTCTGGTACCCGAGATAAGAAAAGTTGGGCGGCGTGGCATAGCGAGAGCCACCTCAGATGCAAAACCCGCCCTTTTCCGGGGCGGGGTGAAACTGGAGGTCGATACGGTAGCTGAGGCTCCCTCACTCCCATTAGAACAATAACTTCGGAATAGTTACTTCGGAATCATTGGCTTGGGCTGCCTGGTTTGAGACTTGGAACGTAGGCGTTACACAATGCATTCAAGATCAACCCACCCTTTGCTGGGCCCTTCGCATGCATACCTCCCGTTCTCCATCTGTCAGTACAAAAAAAGTTGTTTAATGTGTCAGCTGCCCCCTAACACCAGTTTACCATAATTCCCAGTATTGATCTATATAGCCCAACTGTAGATACACACACACTTTTGGTATCCTATTGTGTGCCAGATTGAAAAATGTGAGATCATGAACAGGGAATTTCAGGATCTAAGATTAATTAACAGAAAGTAAAAATAAGGGAGAGGAGACTTGGGACATCTATTGTAAGTAATCTTAACTAAGAATTTCACAGATCCATTCTGAAAGGATACTTTTTTCTTTTTGCTCCCCTGGTTTAGCAAAAAAAAAAAAGATTTAGATTGCAACCTTATAGAGACTTACCTAGAATTACATACTATTGAATTCAATGAGTTTATTTCTGGGCAGATTTTGCAATGCAAATGTGCTATAATGGACTGCATATAGAACATTAACTGAGGAGCTAATAATACCAAAAACATCTTGCAGATGCTATAATGAAAGAAGGCTACTACCCCAAGCTTGTAAGTTACCTAATTTTTAGAGTGTTTTCAGACAGCTTTTATTTCAGCTATCAGAACTCTGTTTTCTAGTGTTTCAAAAGCAATCCTAATTTAGAGTGCATTTGCTAGAGATGAAGAAGTGAATTTGCAAGTGATGAAGTCATGAATTTGTGTTCATCAACATCAATTCACAGATAGATTGGTCACGATAAGTTGTGCACTTTGTACATTACGGGCGTCTCAGAATAACAAAGATACAGCACATCCAGAGATCCAGCAAACAAAGACTGGGGTGTCTCAGTTGAAAACAAAGTAAATGCTCCCAAAGTTGAGATCATTCTCAAGTACTCTAGATCACTTGAGAGGTGTTTTTCCCTTTAGGTTTGATCATTTTTGTCTCTGTGGCTCTCATAGAAACCAAGATGTCAGTTCATCACCCCACTTAGCTGTTCAAAATATTTTCTTACTGGGTTCTTGGTGTTCTCTGAGCTTGCTTTTCTTCTTGAGCATGTTTTATTATCGAGTTCAATAACATCATCAGTGCATGGAGGAGTGAAGATGCAAGCATAACCTTCAGGTTCCACAGGCATTCTTGGAAAATGGAAGGTAAGTGTAGTCCCAGTCTAGTGACTGTTTTGGACATATGCCAGCTTCTTGGAAAAAAAGGAAGTAGGGATTATAACAAGGAAAAATTCAGCTAGAAGGTAAGCAGTATTTGTGACTGCACAGGCCACTCATCATGGCAGTGACTTGGGGATAATGTCTGCACAGGCCTAAAAAATAAGATTACCAACTTCTTGTGCTAGGATGTACACTTGTACAAAATGTTCCAAACTGAACCGCTCACATTTTCCTCTTTTTTCCCCCTTTTCGCTCCTCTTTTTGGTTCTGTGATTTCATGGCAAACTGTTTGAGAATATGGAAGAGGTAAAGAAATGGAGCTCTTCGTGATTTTTTATTATTATTATTATTATTATTATTATTATTATTATTATTATTATT